CAGCTTAATCCCCGTCTGAGCTGAAGGCGCCCTCCCACGTCCCTCGCAGCATCACCAAATTAGGTCTTTTGCAGAGTATAAAATGTAATTGATGCAAAGCCATTAAAGGGCACATGAAGGCTGCAAAGTAAAGGAGGCCATCCAAGCAGTCTAGTCCATTGTGTTGGCAGTAATTAACTGATCCCAGGACCGTCCAGGCGTTTGTGAAGGGGTTTCAGGAAGTCAGCTTCTGCAACGCGGCTGGGGAGCTTGTCTCCACGCTCCCCAAAGCTCTGAGCTCTTGGGGAAGAGCCACGGCTGAGCTGGTCGCGCGGAACCGTGAGCGCTGTTCCATCTGGACCAGACGTAAGGGGAAAGGAAGACCCGAGATCGCCGACAGGATCGCGGCGAATGGAGGGAAAGTCCGGGCGAAGGGCTTGTCATAACGGGCCACAGGAACCAGGCGACTCCAGTCACGGCTCGACCCGTGCCACAGATCACAGGCCTGGGGAGACAGCTGCCCCAGCGGGGCTGATGCCGGGCAGATGCTGAAGAACTGAGACAGAGCCCATAGCTGCGGATCTGCAGGAAACCCACAGCAGAGCACGGACTGTGCCCGATTACAGCCAGCAGCTGCTGCGCTCCAATGGCACACACAGCCACAGGCCCGGCCATGCCCAACAGTCCCCCCTTCAGCAGAAACTGCTTGACTATGGGCTTCCGTGCAGCCCTGCAGGAAGTTTATTCACAGGCGGCCATCTGAAGAACACAGCAGGCGCAGTGCCTACTCTGCTCTGCCATGGAATCGTGTTCAGGGCCCGTTTACAATCCAAGCACAGCCCCGGCCAACCCCTTCTGTTACCCGAGATGTCACTTTCAGCACAGGGACACAGCGCGTGTTTAAACACAGAATGTGGAAGGGCACGCACGGAATAGCAGCATTTTTAAACACCAGCACAGAACTCTCATTCTGAGGGCCAGCTGTCTAGGAATGTCACACCCTCTTTCTAGTCAGCTAAACAAGAACTTGTTCGCGTTGGTAGCTGCGTCAGCATGCGCAGGCTGCAAAGGAACAAGTTAACGGTTTATTATTTGCTGAAAAGAGAAGAAAAGGAACAACGTTTCGGCTGTGGAACCTTCTTCTTCTTCTTCATACCCGAAGAAGGCTCCACAGCCAAACAGTTGTGTTTCTTCTCTTCTCTTTTCAGCAGGGAATAGACCTTCACTTGTTCCTAAACAAGAACTTGGTACTGTCAGAGCTACACATCAAGGTGTGCTACCTGCTTCCTTTGGATCAAGGAACTACATCTATGAATTCTACAGGGCTGCTCTATTCTTATGACTGAGCTCTTGAGTGGAAATACTGGGGTTGTGAAGCGCACATGCCTTCTGCTAACAGCGGGTGAGGAGGACACACAGGACTGTTCCCAGCTGTCGACCTCAGCCCACACAGCCTCGATCAAGAATCCGCTATCGCAGCGTCTCGCTCTCCCCTCACTCAGGTCCCTGGCCTCACCGTTAATTGCCTCTCCCGGGCTGGACTGATGAACTCTTCGCTGCAACTGTGAGCAGAAGGCTCAGATTACTGTCCTCAGCTAACTCCCCCAGCGCAGACACCCTCCTCAACCCCAGCCTCTGGCTGTCATGACACAGACCCAAGAGCAGTTTGCTAATTTCTCATTTTCTTTTTTATTTATAATCCCCGAAGGAGACTCTTGAGATCTCATCGAGGAAGCAGGTGAGTGTGTGTGTGTGGGGGGGGGGGGGGTCTGTGTAGCTTTTGCCAGGATGGCCCTGATTTCTGATCTTTAACCCCAACTGTGCAGTTTGATTTAACCAAACTACCACTTTGTGCTTCAACAGTATCCCTTTGCCTATTGCCTATCGCACTGAAATGCACACATTTGCATGTTTCAGTGCTGTCGTACATCACAATGGTGAGATCTGTGCCGTCTCTGAAAAGCCACAGCAGTTGTTTATTCCCCATGTAACTCATAGCTCTTGTTCATTAGCAGTAGTTCTGCAGGAGACTGACTGGGCTGTAATTCTCGTGAATCAATGCGATTGATCTCCATAACCTTGTAGCAGACAGCCTAATTGAAACACTGGAGCAAGTACAGAGAGGAGCATGAATTAGGTTTCAGCTCTGCAGCATGCATTAAGGATAGCTGGTTAATGGCCTGACAATAATTATTGAATAATAAACAAAGGTATACAGCTCATTTTCAATGCAAAATTGAAATACATGAACCATTTTGTTTGGCTGATGTCACCTTTTACCTTACCCAAACAGAGCAGCTGTCACAGATTTAAAAATAACTCAAAATGAGAAAAGTCTTGTCTTGATCACAGTCATACTGGAGACTGGATTCAAGACAGATGTTTCCGAGCCACAAACTTCCAGAAAACCTGATGCATTTAAACCTTTTCCCCAGGTATGTAGCTGTGGCATCTCCCAGGCCGGTTCATCACCTCCAAGGTGACTGGAAAATTGCCCTTTTCACACTAAGTGTCAGGGATGAATAGCGACAATGCATGACTGTATAAACAAACCAAAGGGCCTGAGCAGTACAGACCCCCCGGCAGTGTCGCATGACCTCTGTGACCTCCACATCCAGCTCCGAGCAGAACGCTCAGACCTTATCGACTCAGATATCGGCTGCAGCAGCCGCCACATCTGGCTGGGCTCAGACAGGGTCCCACAGGCTCACAGACCCTACTTACTTCACCTCCGTGAGGCTCGAGCTCGATGTCTGGGGTGAGATACAAACCCCGGCTGCCAGCCAGCGATAGAAAGAACAGCAGCCATGAGTTTGTGACCTTGGCCTGGTAAGAGCTCTGGCATTCCCTGCATGCCCCCAAAACCTGCGCTGGATCAATCATTAGACAAGCACTTGACCGTGTATATATACTGGACTGAATATAATTTATAGGTAGAAAAATGGCATCATACGTTTATAAGCGTAATTGTATGGCTACATGCAACAGACCCTCCTTCCCTCCCATATGAGAAGGGCTGGAAGGCAGACTTTTCGGAACGCCGAAGACACAATCCTTGTGAACGCAGGAGCTCCTGTGCAGAGGAGAAGGAAGGCACTGGGAGCTCTATACGGACGCCGGACAGTATCAGATCCGAGATGTCAGGCTCACATTGGCCAGGCGGCACGGCTTGACCGGCTGACAAACGCACCTGGTCGCCGTGCCTCTGCGTGCTGGCGACTTGCAGGCCTCTTGTGAAGCCAAGCAGAGAGAGCTCAGCCCGACCCACTGAGCAAACAAGTTTGAAATGCACTCTGTTTAAGAGGTGCTGCCCTGGAAAAAAAAAAAAAAAAAAAACACCCTTGCACAGCTCACCTTCTCTTTTTTTGTTGGTGCGCGTCGTCTTTCTGCTTTGAAAACACGGCGGCTCTAGACCGGACCGTTTCTCATTTTGTTAGGATTTTACTTCCTTAATGCAACCCCAGCTGCTTTAGTTCCTTATACAGCTGGCTTATGTCAGCCAAGCCAAGCCAAGCCAAGCGGTACAGCAATGATCTTTGGAACCTGGACTCCAGCCTGGGACAGAGCGCTCCCATTGTCAGTGTGCCATGTCTTCAGGGGGCGGTGTGGGAGTGATGTTCGGGAGACGTTTCCCCGGTGCACAAACGAGGGAACCTTCCAGAAAACGGATGGTGTAAATTAACGACCCAGAATAACGCCACTGGGGATCGTGCATTTATGGCGAGCCTACCGTCTGTGAAGAAAAACAAGGTGGTGAGGAGGCGCTGCTGTCCTCTGATGCTGTGTGTGTGTGTGTATTTCCCTGCTTTGCATCTTCAGTTTAACATTAGACACGTGCCCTAACTATACTTTTCCTGGCAGCAACAGAGAGAGAGCTTCTGAGGTGGGGTGACTGCAGGGTGTTAAGAGGTGGCCCCTAGGCTGGACTGGGAGCTCAGCTTTTAGCAGAAATCCCAGAACCAGGTTCAGATCTGCCAAACCGAGAGCCTGCGGTTAGCGGCCAGACCCGGAAACAACACGAGCTGTGAAGAGACAGCCCCACAGTCTACAGGGCCTTCAGAAACCCAGGTCACGTATTCGTACAGGTCACCCTACACCACTGCTGTCTGAAGATAAGGAACATTTCTTTAAGCCATGGAACAACGATGCAAGACATGTTGCATGAAGTACACACTGGTCCCTGACTTTCATTCCACACAATCTCTAAACTTAATGGAACTGACCTCCTGTTTAACTGATCACTGTTAAATTATCCCTGGCCTTTCTAAACTGAATATTTAAAAGCCACCTATGAAACATTTTTTTAAAAAAACTAACTGGCCACATTCCAGAAGCTTCTTTCACGAACCCAGTGGGATGTGACAATCAGATCAATGAGCTACCAAGGAGCAAACAAGCCAGGTGGGGCAAATGACCCATCTCTTTTCGTTTGCAGTTCTCCTGTTTTCTTTTAGCTCTTTACACAGTGTCTGCGGGTTCAGGCAGTAATTTCAGGCTTCGGAGTTACCCGACTGGTCTCAAACTCGGAACTACAGGCAGACGCCGCTGTGCCACTTACCCACCGGCTATAAGCGACTCGCTGGGAGACAGCACATCGTGGCGGAATGCGAGCGCATCCTTCACACAGTGACGGTCTCGCGTAATCGGGCTAAACGCCTGGGAAACGTGCCGGCGCCGACCCGCGCTGTGCCGTGCCAACAGCCAGCGAGCCTTCGCGTGAGGAAGACGGCAGGCCGACGCAGCGAGCGATCCCCAACTTCAACGCTCAATTCTCAGCCGTTCAGGCACAGCAATGTACAAGGTTCCGCAAAGTTACTAACGGTAATTGCTCTTTTTTTTTAAATGGCATTAAACTTGTATTGTACTCGTCGCCGTGAATGAAATGCCCATGTGCAAAGAATGCTTTTGCGCTGCAATCGGTGAAAAAGCGGCTTCTCAGCTCTGACAGCAGCAGGCGCCGCATCAAACCGCTGTGCTCCCTGCAGCTGCGAGAGCTGCCCAAATATAGAAAGTTTCCTTACCGAGGTGGACCCAGACGATGATGCTATGTAAACTTTAATCACCATGTTTCCTTCTACTTTCAGAGACGTCTCTCCGGCGAACGCTTGCTTTCCAGGCCGAGCGGGCAAGTCACAAGCAAATGCTGCACAGATATTTTATTTTATTTTTTTTGTGTTCTTGTTCTGCAGACTAATTCCTTCGAAGCAAGACCCGCTGAGAGTTACAGTTAGTGCTGGGCTGATGCAAAGCAGTTATGCTCTCGACGTGCGATTGCTCGGCTTCAATTGGCTGTTCTCCTCCCTCCCTCCGGTTCTCTCTTTCGTGGGTTTGGCGAAAAGAGAGAAACACCCTTCTCGCGCAGGAAGGCACATGATTGCGCGCATATTTGCTCGTTAACTCGCAGGAGAGTGGCTAAGGAGGAACATTCTTGACAACGCGAGAGTTTGGCCCGGGTCTGGTCTAGGTTCTGCGCTCGGTTGGGGTGATTGCGAGAGTTTCGCCCCCCCCCCCTCCGCTGTCTCGAGTGTGTCACCCCACTTCTCGGAGCGTGGCACCTTGCAGCGCTGAAAAACGTTGCAACACGTCTTTTCGACCCGCTTTCTGCCGTTTGCAAATACAAGAAATAAACATTGCAAATCGAGCGCTTCTGCAATGTGCATTTGGATGCCGAAGTCCAGTCCTAGTCGGGCGATCCATTTCTCAGCTCCAGAGTTTTCACAGGAGAGAGAAAGATTATAGCAGATATATTTGCTAATACAGCTACAATTGCAGAGCATCTTCAGATACCAATGTCGGCTCTTGTGCCTTGATCTGAGCACGTGACTGGTTTTTATTCATCTTTTTTCCGTGGGTGATTTTTGTCACTGAGTTTCTGCTGCTTTGATTTTTTTTCTCCAGCTGTGACGCTCATTTGTTTTCGTCCCCTTTGTGATCATCACAAAGAGAAAAACACCGGATGAAGTAAAACCAAACAAACGGGTCAGATTTCAAGACTGAAAATGCCATTTTTAAGTAGAAACGTGTATGTAAAGGCATTTTATCTGTTGGTTCCTTTGCAGGACACCTGATAGGTTTTCTTTCTGTGGGTGGTGTTAATTGTGAATGAAGCAATTGAGGTCCCGATTTTAGGAAGATCCTGCAGTGGGCTGGGAAAGACAGTCTTTCTATAAACCATTCTTCTTGCATATGCAGTATCCAGTCCTGGTCCTGAAGGTCTCTGGTTTTTCACTGTGTCTGAGCTCCTGAAATTCTAACTCATCTCTTAACTGGCTGAACTGGACCCCATTCAAAGCCTTTCCCAGCTCTCCGGGCGCTGCTGTCTTCCGGAGACCCGGAGAGCGTTCTGGATCGACATCGGACAGCCCAGCTCCCCTCACTACAACCTTTATCAACCCCTCTGACCCCTGACCCCTGACCTCGCTGTCTGTTTGGACCTGTGCCCGCCGAGCCCCTGCTGAATTAATTGAACCTTAAAGTTAACAAATTATTTACTAACTGTACTAACTTTTTACTTCTTCTCGGTTTTCTGGGAACTCTCCGAGATGTTCAAGTTAGCTGTGACAATCCATAGTTCATGTATAATCCACAGTTTAACAGGAACAGAAAATAATTTAAAGGGTTTAATTACTAAAATTATTTATCCGGTTAAAGGTTCGGCTAAGCTTAAGGATCACACAGATCAGCATTACAAAAACTCAGAATTGCAACACAGGGCACGATTATTAGG